ACTTCTACTATTATTTTAGAAAGGCCAGAGTAAACCAAAGTAATGGAAATCACTTTACAAAGTGATTCAATTAGATGACAGCAATTAAAAAAATACTCGCTGACTTAGTCAATAATCAAATCACCTGGAACGGAAAACAGTGAAGATGGAGAATTATGGGTGTTCTCAGTTACAAATGATTTCACAAGTCATAAAGATAACTCTAAGGATTAGTGATACTAGTGCTAATTTAAGTTTTATAATGAACTGATGTTGAAGATGATGAGCACCAACTATTACTAAATAAAAGATCACTATCATTTTTTAAAAACCGAATTAATATCAGAAGCTGATTAACAAATCAAGTGACAAGTAATTTTTAAAAGTTCTCTGTCTTAATATCTTTGTTGACATTATAAACCCATAAATTACTTAAGTGTAATATTTCACCAATGCAATAGTATTTCAAACTTAAAATACTGTAATTTTCAGTCTATATAATAAATATTAGTAAATTTTTGATGATTTATGATAAATGGGGGAATATAATCTGAGAAAAAACACAGAAATGCTTCAATATCTGTTTTACTGTGCAATGAGAAGAGTATCACAGACATAAAAAGAACGTGAAAGTTCTAGAAGGAAAATGGACAATTGGAAAACTAAAAGCTTAATTTAGAGACTGAAAAGTAGAGAATACAGGAAGAGAGTAGCACAAAATATGTATGTCTAAATGGTGATGAGGTGATAGTAAAAGGGGGAAGTGAAGATATATATGAAACATGGAATTATTAACAAGGTTCCTAAGAGAATTAAAAATTTAGAACACAGATGTTGAGAGGCCTCTCTGTGAAGCAAAAATTAAAGGCATCTGCTCAAAGGAATATGGGGTGGGGGGATGAGAGGAAAAGTTAATGGAAAGCATCGAAAGGCTAAAATTAACTGCAGAAAATGGGAAAAGTAGGCAGAGAACATAAAAGTTTAGTTGATTTGAGGGACCAATTTAGATTAGTAATCACATGAGATTTCCCAAAGAAATCCTTATGCTCTAACAGTTCCTTTTTCAATATAAATTGCTTCTCAAATTGTCCAATAATTTAAAATGCAGTTGACAAAATTAGAGTGAACTACTAATTATTCTAATAATTTGTATTAAAGAAGAAAAGCAAGTATTCTACCTCTCGCTGGCTGTTAAATCTTTAGCTAATTTCCTAATCTTCCCAGGCCTTTGTCTTTATAACTACAAAAAGCGGGTAATTCTATCTTCCTCATATATTCATTATTTATTTTAATTGAGGTAACAAAGTATAATGATATAAACCCTGGCAAACAATAAGGTTCAATAAAGATTAGTTTCATTCTTAGTAACTACACTGCCCACTGGCACAACTGGGTAACACCCTGTTGTGACAGTCAATATGAGGAAAGGGAAGGAGGGCCCCAAACATAGGCTCTTCCCGCTAAGACACTCTGCCTCCCATGAAACAATATCTTAGTGACATCACTACTGATAGGAACAAAGGGGAGCAGAACATACCACTCCAAAATGTGCTACTTTGGCAAGTGGTCTGCTTTGAACTGAAGATTAAGACCCACCCGGTGCAGGAAAAGCTCCTTATTATTTCCCTCAAGTATCTAGAAGAATTTAGACATGGGCTTGTATCAGGAACAGAGCTATTACCAGAAAACTTTTCATATCAGACTTAACCTGTATGGCAGATAAGTTAAACATTCATTTAGCAAACATTTGCTCTTCTCAATTTCCTATGATTTGTAGCCTCCCCTTTGAAGTTCCAGACTCTAGCCCCTTTTCTCCTTAGGTCAGCATAATATATTAAGTTTAACAGTCTGACTTCCTTTGAGCCCACATTGCCTATGGGTCTCCCATTTATACAAAAGTAAAGTTATTGGATTTTATGTTAATTTAATGATTAGACCAAAGAACCTAGAAGAAGGAAAAATTTCCCTCCCAACAAGGGCTTAATAATCCCAATTTTGCATTGTCAGAAAAATTTGTGAAATAACCCAAAGAACCCCAGGTCTGAAAGAGACAGGTACACATAACTAAGTTCAGAAATAAATGATGTTGTAAGTACAAATATCAATATACACCACACACAAAAAATAATGTAGTACAAAATTGAAATGAATCAGTGTTAACATTGGCAATTTTCTTCCTTCAGGATTCTGTAGAAAGCCAAATAATATTCAAAAGTTCATTTCACACATATGGAATCTAAACAAGACAAATGAACCAAATAACACTCATGACTAATGTCAAGTAAGTATGCTAATATAATCCACAAAATCTTCTTAAGAAATAATATGCCTACCTACTGGGAAGAATCTCCTCTGAACCCAGCTGGGACAACAATAAAATTAGGACTCCCTGGAGATCATTCTATATCTACCCACACAGAGACAAACACAAACACACACACATACATATGAAACGATTTTAATATCAAAAAGTGTCAGTTCTACTTTAATACCAACATGATTTAAAAACTGAAACAAAGTCAAATTGTACAACTTTTAAAATGTACAAAGAACAATATTAAATCTAAAACAGTGTTTACTTAGGACCAACAATCTAAGAAATTTTTCCACTTAAAACATACAAGTTACAATAAAAACTTGGCCTTTAATCATAGGTATTTCTGGATAACATCACTGAGCTGGTGATAAAGAAGGTCCTTGTCTTTGTCCCCAAGAGAAATATGTTAAGAGCTAGCCAGAGTGAGTGTGCACCTAGAGAAGCACATGGCTGTGGCTCAGACTAAAACACCTCTTAGACATCAGCAAGCAGCACAATCTGCACCAAAGCAATAGTAAGCAAAACATTTTGTCATTGGGAAAAATACAGAAACACAAGCCAATGAACAGGACAGAGAACCCAGAAATAAACTCACACAAATATTGTTAATCTTTGACAAAGGAGTTACAAAGCCTTGACAAAGGTTTTTCTTTAAATAGAGAAAGGAAAGCCACTTCAACAACTATGCTGAGAAACTTGGACAAAAAGCGGAGGGGGGGGGGGAGAGGCAAATAGATCATTATTTAGATGTCTATATAAAAATTAACTCAAAATAGGTTAAAGACTTAGATATAAGATGTGAAATCTAAAATACAGGAAAGAAGGAAAGAAAGCACAGACAATCCACTTTTCAACTTCAACCATGGAGATATTTTTGGAGGAAAAACTCAAAAGGAAAGAGAAATAACGTAAGCTGGTGCAGCTTCTGCAGAAACCAATAAGGAGATTCTTTAAAAAACTGAAAATGAAAAGAACATATAATCCAGCAATACTGCTTAGAGGTATAAAAAAAACTCATAGGAAAAGATTTATGCATTCCTGTATTTATAGCAACATTATTCACAATAGCCAAGATATGGAACCTACGTCTAGATGTCCACTGACATCTGACTGGTTAAAGAAATTGTGCAATATATACTCAGTGGAATGCTGCACAGCTACTTAAAAAGATGGTAGTGACTTTTGGGCCAAAATGATGAAAATCAAGGTGACTATGCTAAATAAAATAAATCAGAAAGTGAGACAGTTACATTTGTGGATAAAAATAACCAAAGAAAACAAATTGACAGACACACAAAAAATTTTGTCTCTGAAAAATACAGTGATACCAGAGGGGATAAAGAGAAGTAGAAAGGAATAGGGAAGGACGATGATAGGGCATTGGTACTAGAGTTTGGGTAGAGAGTGAGTGAAATATGTACATGTATGGAGGTGAGGTTGTGCTCACAAAAGGTAAATCAATATAATTTGTGGAGTTACCCATGAAAAAATACTCCTTATCCCTTACCATGAGGGAAAAGCAAATCAAAACCATAATGAGACACCACTACCGCCCTATAAGAACGGCCTCTATCGAAAACACCAGGAATAAGTGTTGGTGAAGGTATGGAGAAAAGGAACCTTCACACAATCGTTGGTACCCAGCACCTAGAGTATGGATGGAAGTTTCTCAAAACAGCAAAAGCAGATCTACCATCTGGTCTAAGAACTCTACACCTTGGTATCTATACAAAGAATAAACTTTAATTCAAAGGAATATATGCACTTCTATGTTTATTGCAGCACTGTGATAACCAACTAGTAAGAACAACCTAAGTACCTAAAGAAAGATAAATCGATTAAAAAGATGTCTTGTGTGTGTGTATGTGTTTCTTTATATTCCAGATATGAGTGAAATTTTCCAACATTTGATTCTGACTTACTTCTCCTAAATTATTTCACTTTCATAATCCCTCCAGTCCCATCCATGTTGTCAAAAGGCAAGATTTAATCTCTTTTGATAGCTTAATATATTCTGTTGTGTGTATGTGTGTGTGTGTGTGTGTATGACATAAACAGATTCTTAATAAATCTATTTTGTCAATTACAAATGGGAATAACAATGAATATAGTAAACATGTAAAAGAACTGATATTTAAATCAAATTTGTTGATTCCACTAAATAACTTCATGTTTCTTCTAAATCAGAAATTAAACATCAGGAAATACCTTAAAAGAAATCTCAAGTCAAAAAGAATTCTTTACACAATGATAATTGAGGTTTTATATTCTGGGGTTAGAATGATAAAAAATTGGATCCAAACTACCACCATTCAATTTTATTATCTTCAATCAATTATTTCAGCTATTTGCTTATTTGTAAAATGTAAATCACAATACCAATTTACTGAGCTGCTGAAAGGCTTAAATGAGTAATACACCTTAGAGACAATAAGAGCATATAATATGTATCAACTCTATCTACATACATACATTATATAAAACTATTTCATATTATATACATTAAAAATCTGAAAATCTTCTCTAGTAAAATTAAATTTTTCCTGTACTTTTTACTTTTCTACTCTCCAACTCAAATTGTACACATAGTTCTTCAGTATTGATAATTGAGGACATTATCACTTTTTTAAGACCAAAGTTAAATTTTTATAGGTATTATGATGTAATTCTAAATATACTAAAAAACAAGCATTATTTTTACTACCTGAGTCTCCACTCCCTGCTCCAGTAGGCGCTTAGCTTGATTTTCCACTTCAAGTCGAGCTCTTGCAATAAAAAGTAGATCATTTTCTATTACTTCTATTCCAGAAAGGTCTATTCCTTGAGAGAGATAATCTATTAAAAAAAAAATACACATACACACATTTAAATATTAACACAAATATTAAAATACATAGCTGACTGTTAAATGTGGCAATGTGCGAGAGGAACGCAAAAGTAAGAACAGGCGATGTGATACAAAGCCACCATCCAAGGAATAAGCACAGTTTCCAGAAGCTGGAGGAAGGTGAAAGGAAGAGAATGGAGTCTAAATTTAGTGAAGGGACCTGCAGAGCACAGCGACCAGGAAACAGGATGGGAGAGAATTCAGTGTCCAGGATCATTACCATGCATACACTGTTACCTTAAATTTATTTCCTCAGCTGCAGCCACTCCCAGGACTCATATTTCATCTTTTGGTGGATAAAAGGCACTTCAAATTTAATATGCCCAAAATAGTTATTTCTGCCATAACATGCTGCTGCCTCAAAGTTCTCCTTACAGTAAATGTACTGCCCCAAACTGTCTACCATTCTAGTAGTGTCAAGTGCAAAAATAGGATGGCTATATCCCTAGTGCTTAGAGTAATAACTAGGACACAGGGGAACTTCAATAAATACATATTTGAATTAATTAACAGATCAATTGTTAAGTCTTAATTTTAAACTTTTCCAGAGACAGCAGTAAAGATTACAACTTTTAGTAGCTATGAGATAGCTTGAGTTATTTTTTGGTAAAAGAAGCAAAGAAGAATTATGTAAATGTATATACATATAACAAAGCAGAAAGGAAAACAAGATAGATACGTAAGAGAAAATGGTAGTTTCTATTATTCATGAGACACACACAAAATGAGAATATATTTGTGTCCATTATGGTAGACAATCCTAGAATTTCTCTAACAATAATACATTCTAAAAACACACAATCAGAGAGAAGACGCAAACACTTCATTTAAAACAAATCCTGCTAAAGCAGAAGTAAAAACCCAGGTCCAAGAGAGAGGACTTTGCCAGTGAGAAAAGAGTCCTGGAACCCAGGAATGCCAAAATACTACCTACATCTGATTTGCTTTAGCTTCCCTAAATTCAGAGCAATCATCTATTTCAGATTTTCCTGGTCAGTCCTGTTAACCTTCAACTGACCAACTCAACAGATCTTAGAGTACTGAGTTGCTAGTAAAGAGAATATTACCAATCTCTGCACATATATTCCAACACCAAACTGCTTTCTCTCAAGGTTCTAAGCAATAGCTTGTAAGAAATTCAATATATCTCCTTTTTAGTCCCATCCCTTTCTCAATCTTCCAGAGCCTATGACACTTCTAATTTTGAGCTTTTCTAGAATTTCACAGATTGGCATATTTCATTCTTGGCTTCCTCCTCTTTAAGTATTTATATCTCTACTTTCTACATTTTAATAAATCAATGACCTCTCACTGAGCTCTCATTATTCCAAAATTCTGTTTATTTCTCTTATCTGTTTCACCTCTTTTTGCACCCTTTGTCCTTGTGGGATTATACCCTTTTTGCCCTTAAATGTCATTTTAGTCAGTTTTAAGGAGCAAGCAGAAATACAGGCATGTATTCAATTCACTATATTTATTCAGTAGTCTAGAACTTATATTTTTGTTCAAACTAGAATACTACCTATTCCCCTTTAACCCTAAACATATTTGAACCTTTCAAATCTCCAAACATCTCAATAAAATCCTATCTTTAGTAATAACTACACATAACATCTTTTCTACTTTTCCAAACTGCAAGTAATTATCTATCTTTTGAATTTTCACAGCCTATTACTTTTAATTCTTCTGGCATTTACTTAGACCATATGTGCTAAATTTTAATGACTAATGCTCAAAATCTCCCCCACTACCCAAAGTTATTCATTTTACTAAAACCCTGTAACTTTTATCAATCAGGACCTTATTTAGTAAAATAAGAGAACTTTAAAATACAAAATGTTCCTCAAAATAAGCCTACTGTTATTGGTTAGTTTAATAAGACACTTTTCTCTATCCCAAATTATAATCCATTAATAAGTAAATGTGGTATCAAATAAAGACAATGAATCTTACACAATTTTAAGGACTTTACATTAGGCTTTTGAAAAAGGATAAAGGAGAATATGGATGGAAGAACCAACAACAATCTATTATGAGTAATACAAGTACTTAAAAAAAAGCTTTTAATACTTATAAGCACACACTGAATGGCCAAATGGATGTCAACAATGCTCTCTCCTTACTTTCACATTTGCCTCAGACTGTTTGTTATATTCTAGAAACATGTTCTTACTTGCTGTTTAAATCAATTTCACCTAAAAAATAAGTCAAGAAGGAAAGAAAAAGCACCAAGAGAGATAATTTAGGGTTATAGATAGATGGTGGGCCTACTTTAATATGATGTCAGAGAGAGGCTTCAGAGAACTTAAGTGCAGTCAGATCTTAAAAGATGAAAAATGCACAAAAAAGAACAAGATCTAAACACAGAGTCTGAAGAACAATATCATCATCTTTATAGTTCCTAAGCTGACACCTCCTAATATCTATCCAAATTTGAAGGGAGTTTATAAAATCTTTTAAAAATGCACAATTAAGGGTTTTCTTTTTTTGTAGGTACCCATATAAAGCATGTTGTATTTCTCAAGTTGTATTTAAAAAATAGAAACATTTCAGAAAATGCAACAGAATAAGAAAACATTTGCTGAAATAACTCAAATGTTCACAAGATAACTAATATTTTGTTTATTCATACATTATTATTTGTGAAAAGTTGCTATATGCTTATAGCATGTATGAATCTTGAAAACATACATAGTGAAACAGCTCCCAAGGATCACAACTGAATTCTTTTATTTATATGAAGTGGCCAGCACAGCAAATCTGTGACAACAAAAATAGAAAACTGATTGCCTAGTGCTACATTTTAAGGGTGGGAGACAATAGGGGGTGACTGCTAATGGGCCCAGAGTTCCTTTGGGGGAGGATCATGAAAGTACTAAGTTAGAGTATGGTTGTGATTATGTAACTCTCAACATACTAAAAAACACTGAATTATATAATTTGGACACATTACATGGTATGTTTAATATATTTTAATAAAGGTGTTAAAAAATACTACCTCTGACCAGAATGAAATCTCTCATTCTATGAGTGCTGTCATACAGAAGAGATCTAAAGTGTCTTTACTAGTAAAAAGCTTAAAATGTGATCGACTCTGCTAGTGGTTTCAAAATAATCATTTAAAAAAAAAAAAAAAAACACCTGTAACCTTGTTTTGTGGTAGAGTCCATTGTTTTCACTTTCTGTTTAGAATTTCTTGTCACATTTATGGGTCTTTAAGATCTCAGACCAACTGGCATAATTCTATTCCTAGCCTTCCTATTTACCACTCTGCTACAGTCAGAGATGCATTTCATCCATTCTTTTTGGCCTAATAGCTCTGATAAGGGGGGGAGGAAGCAGAGAGAAAACTGAGTGTAGAAACTGGCATTTTTCCAAACAAATTACTTTAGATTCAGTTACCTTAACAAAAATGAACTAGAGGTCTCCTTCAAAGGCTGTTATGAGACATGGAGCTACAGCAGGCCAACTCCGTCTCTAAATATTTGGACCAAAATAGACAACTCATTTATCAATCTGGTCCTGGTTCTTTAGTCTTCAAAATGAGGATAATAAATTTCCTAATCTCTATTGTCTCATCCAGTTCTGTAAATCTATTCACTCCTCTCATCTTTTCACCACTTTCAATACTTAAAAATAAAAAGCCATGTAAAGAAGCACAAGCAAGTAGCTCCAGTTTTTTTCCTCAGTTTTTTTATTAGAAACTACAAAAAAGTTAGAGCTTAAATTTTTTTAGGTTAAATTCATTTGTGAGCTCAAACACAGACAGGAGAGTGGTCCTGGGAATAAGGAATGGTTTTGATTTAAGTTTTTTTAATTATAAATAAATGTAATAAATTACTATATTATTGAAGAAGCATTCATTTATATCTTCGTGTTTTGTCAGAGCAGGACAAACCCCTCGCCGAGCCCCAACCCTGCAGCCCCCGAAGAGTTGCTGCAGCCCCGCCTCTGCAGTAGCAACTGCAGTCCTTCACCAAAGTCCACCATGTTCTCCCCCAGGTCCTTTCTTCACCCTGCTGCCTCCTCCACCCCTTAGAAAGCCATAGATCTACAGTCAGTTTTCAAGAGTTGGTTTTAGTGTGAACAGCTTTGATTTTTTTCTTCAGATTTTGGGAGTCCACAGCTTTTCGATGAACCTTGTGCTGCTGCGTAATCTCTTATTTCTCCTTCTCTATATTGACTATCTCTCACCTTCCTGGTGACCTGGGCTTACACAGGTTCTTACTGCTGAAATAATAAGCATCAGTACAATGTTTTGGGGTTTTTCACACCATTGGTAACAATTTTGGCAGCTGTAAGGATGGCAAATTTCTGGTGTGCTCTACACAGGGGAACTCAATTAAGGGACAGAGGTCCAATCACCAAGCCACTGTTCAGCTGCTTGAGGAAAATCAGCCTCATGTTTTTTTACCACAAAAACATCCCAGTAAGGATGATCAAAAGGGTTTTTCTGCAAAGTTTAACTACTTGGGTGATGTCATTCTTGACACTACCAACTAGTTTTGTGATAGAAGCAAGAAACTTCTCCTTTTTCTTTTCATTCCTGGAGTTGTACATGGTCTTTCTGGAATACACAAAAGATCAGGAAGATCTGCCCATTCCTCTGACTAGGACAGGGCTTCAGCTGCAAAGAGACCCCCTTTTCTTAGGCATTCTGGCAGCATCAGCTTTCTTCAGCATCAGGTTTCTTTTCTCTTAGCTAGCTGACTTCTCAGCTCTTTCACACACAATGGTAAAAAGCACTAACTCAGTTCAGAATTTTAAAGCAACAAGTTCAAATGGTAAATTAGATACTTGCATTTTTTCCACACTGCTTTCTCCAACCACTCTGACACTGTTTTTCAAAATTAATTCTACTCTTACACCCAAATTTGTATTATATATTTCATATATCCTTTATTGTTTATGGCTGTAAAATATGAGGTCATCTAATAAAGAAGAGTAG